CTCATTGCCTAAACATACTCCAACCGTAAGTTCCTGTGGCAACCTGCAGCACTTGGACTACAAGTCCCAGCAGGCACTTGTCGGCTCGCTCCCAGCCTGTCCTGTCAGGCCAGCCTACAGTCCCGGACACACCTTTAGCACCACCACCACCTCTTCTAAGTGCATTATCCCCAGCACCAGTCCCATCATGCACAGCTCTGCCCTCAGACACGCCCACGGACAAGCCTCAACAGCATGCCGCTTTACTTGCTGGCCACCCCATGACCTTTAACACACAGCTCATGTCTCCCCAAACAATGGCAGCCCTCTGTACTCACTCCCGTGAGCGGCAGAGTCCTGGGTACAGGGCTTCAGCCCCTGTGCTGTGGGTGCATAGAGACTGGGCCCTGGGACAGAGACACAAACAGTGGCCTCCCCCCCCCCCCCAAGTGGCCACACCCAACCTGTGTGTTTACTGCATTCTGCCCCTCACATTTCAGGGTTCATGTCAACATTTCTGAGCGCCTACTCTGTCCGTGAATAGAACTGGTTGGCTACTTTAAGGATCTGGGCCACCAAGTACTTGATGGGAAGGGGTAGTTCAGAGGCCGCAGGGGTCTGTTCTTCCCAGGTACATATGTTTAACTGGGGGACACACAGGCGCTATCCTCAGTGAGCCCCAGCCTTGGATGGGGAGAAAAGATCCACATTTGAGAGGTGAGCAGGAAGGGGATACTTCCTCCCTCTAGGAAAGGTTTGTAGAAAGCCAACAGAGGCAGGCCTGGGGGCTCCCTGGGGCCCAGCAGCTGCACCGCCAGTCCCTGCCTCCACTCCCTGCAGGCGATTCTATGACTCGGGAGCCATCATGCTGCGGGAGGAAGCCACGGTGCTCACGGGGATGCTCATCGGACTGAGCGCCATAGACTTCAGGTGGGGTCCCAGGGGTGGAGTGCGGGGTGCCGATGTCCCTGCCCCATCCCCTCATCCTGCCCCACCCCCGTGGTTCTCTGTCCCCAGCTTCTGCCTAAAGGGCGAAGTGCTGGACGGGAAGACCCCGGTGGTGATCGACTACACGCCCTACCTTAAGTTCACCCAGAGGTGAGCCGCCAGATTATTGCCCTCGAGGAGGGACCACCGCCCGGAAGGGTAGGGAGGGCGGGAGGGGAGCGGTTGGGTGGGCATCCTAGTCTCCAGCCCAAGTGGGTGGGGATGGGACGCTAGGGCCGTCGGGTTGTGGGTGCCCACTGCTCCCTCCCCCCAAGCTACGACTACCTGACGGACGAGGAGGAGCGGCACAGCGCCGAGAGCAGCACGAGCGAGGACAACTCCCCGGAGCACCCTTACCTGCCGCTCGTCACAGACGAGGACAGTTGGTACAGCAAGTGGCACAAAATGGAACAGAAATTCCGCATCGTCTACGCGCAGAAGGTGCGGTAGGCGTCGGGCAGGGGGGCACCCGGCGCTACGG